GGCGCTGTCAGACAGTTGGAGGTTGGTCAGGTTCAGGCTGAGGTCTCCAGTATCCAGAGCGTCAGTCTTCATGGATGTTCGGCCGCTGTAACGCTGGTTTTGATCTTTCAGTTCGTCTCCTTGAAGCTGACGCTGGTGGACGGTTGGAGGACTGAGGTCGGAGCGACTCCACACCACCGATGCATTTCTTAGGTTGAAAGTATCAAACTCACAGGGCAGCACTACAAATGATGCCCCCTCATATGATTCCACAGCTGAGGCATGCTGGGAAACTGAGGACACAAAGACAGAGACTCCATGAGTCACTTTGAGGTAAAGATCAAGTTCAGACACATTTACAGAAACCAGGAGACAGAACAACAGAAACATTCAACATTTTAACAACTCACAGATAAAAGAGGAAGAGGCAGGAAGTCCAGAGGAAGTCCAGAGGAAGTGGAGGAACGAGCTGATGTGAGGCTTTAAAAATTAGTTCTGTATCTAACAGGCAGCAGGTGCAGTTCAATTTGCATGAGAATGATAAGGATTGCTGTCTTTCAGTTTGTAAAGAAAATCTGTAACCTGAGTTGTGGATGAGCTAAACAGGGAACATGTTTGGCTGAGTGCCGAGTAGAGATAACAGTCCAAACATGATGAGGGGATTTCTTCAAGTCTGTGTCAAATGAGAATGTGTGACTGATGTGATCTGTGTGTCCCAAAAAAAAAAGTCAGGGTCAAACAGCACAAACAGACTGTGAGTGGAAGTCCTGATGTTGGAGGGCAGATTTTCAAGTCTTTTTACAAATGAAAGGTTTGGGAGTGACTAAGAGGAATCCAGATCTGAAATCACTAAGCTGATGGAAGCATTTTACATCAGAGCAACAGATTCAGAATAAATTTGTGTTGCTGCAATTAGTGCAACATACAGCTGTATATCATCCACACAACAGTGGAAATAACACAGTATTTTCAGATTATCCCAAAAAGTTACCTGTTCATCAGGACGTAGCGTTTTGTGAGAGAAACGTTTCGTCACTCATCCAGGTGACTTCTTCAGTCTCAGCTGACTGCAGGTTTCCAATCTTATAAACAGTACATTTGCATAATGACTGAAACCAGCCCACTGAAGGAACAATGGGCTGGGAGGTCAGTTCCTTAATCATTAGTATTCAAATTCTGCACAGACATGCCGTCCCAGCATGTCTG